TGGGAGCCCAAATTCAGTCCTTTCCCTGCAGTTCCTGGCGGCAGTTGCAGCGGAGGCTGAGCCTGTCCATACTGGGACTGTAGGGCAGAGGTGCTGGGCTGAGGAAGGCACTGCAGAAATAGTGGAGCAGGCAGGAGCATGGCCAGAGCTGCACAGCCTCGCGCCCAGCCCAGCTAGGCCTGCTGAGGTTTCCCTTTCGAGTTTCTTTTGGGCTTTGTTTGCCTGAGCTGCTTGCAGCGTATTGCCAAGGTCAGCTTGGCTTCTCCCAGCACTATGCTGAGTGAAGCGGGAAGGGAACAGATGAGGTCTCAAGTCACTTTGCATCAAAACCACTGTGAATATGTGCATTTCCGTCAGATGGGCTTAGGTGCAAGGACTCTGTCCAAGTGGTGAGGGTACAGTAAGATCTGCAGTTCAGGGACTTGTGCCAGACCGCCGCGCTTGTCAGCCGAAGTGCTGATTACTCTTTGCCCACAGTGCTGATACACATATTACAAAGCTATCTTCCTAATATATGCTTCAAATCTAAAATGAGCAATGAAACAGTCCCTCCAAACATGGACGTGCCATCCATGAAGGATGTCTGCTGAGGTCAGCAGAGCACCAAATAAGCTTTAATTACAGCTCTGGGTGACATTACTGGCAGAGGTGTAAGACCACTGCATTTTATCTTTTCAGCTCCGTAGCCTCATCAAGATATTAAAACATTTGTGGGTCTTTCATGCAGTCTTTCTCCCCCTGGGATGTTTAAGTTATCTGACTGTCAACATGGTGTTGCAGGCTGTAAAGGTTCAGAGAATTACCTTGATGGTATGATGGCCTCTTCCATTGCAACTGCAATCCAAGGCTCATTTTTCCTCTGAGGCATTCATTGAAATTCTGTGCACGATTTGTTCTTCTGGTTGTTTAACAATGTCTCTCATGTTTGCCCTGATTTAAAAAATCCTCCTTTGTAGCAGAGATAACATAGAGCAGGATGATATAATTGCAGTAAAGAGGCCCTGGAGCTTGCAGTAATAGGATGGTTCATCTGATGTGTGCTGCCATTAGAAAATAACCCACGTATGTATGTTCTCAGGGGACAGTAAAGAGGCTTTTAAGGATTACACTTTATGTAGTATGAAAGCTAATGAGCAAAAGAGCAAGCGTGAAGAAAACTATTGCTGCAGAAACCATGGTGCCTCTCCCCGTTCTCACTCGTTTCCTGACACCTGTGTACCTCCAGAACATCCAGCTCTGCCCAGCCATGCATGGCTTTTCGTGCACTGCAGCCTGTTCCCAAGCCTTTTGAGAACACTGTATTTTTTTTATTTCACTGAAAAATAAATAGCATGTCAAAAGCGTGGCAGAGCTGAGTTCAGGATTGAAACTGCTGTGTGTGTACGAAATAAATAGTTTTGGGGGAATAGCGATCTCTGATAGTCGTTGCCCTCAAAAAAGAGAAAGATTTGCTAGAATGATATAGTTTCATGAACGTTGCTGAAAGGTTGATGTGTTAAGACCATCAGTTATGCAGAGTCTCCGTTCTCCCATCTCCATTCTTTTCCTGGCCAGTGTGCAAAAATGTAGGAAGATATCAACATACAAATGTTAGGTGGCATGCAGAGTCAGAGTTGCAAAGTTTGGGCTGTGGAGGTGGAAAATGCAGAGCAGCTGGTTTCTGTTATTAACAATTTCTTGTTCAAACAGGTTGCCATCTAGAGTGCCAATTTCTTGCCCTTACATTTGTGCTGAAACGGAAGCCATCTAGCAGAACAGATTTGGGCTTCTTTGTTTTTTCACAGCATTTTCATCTTGCTTTTAGAGCTTGTTGTAGATAAAGAAATGAATTCACCTTTTCATAGTCTGTATCCTCTCTGTGCTATTGTAGTATATTTTTGTCGCTTGTCAGGTTTTTATGTTCAATGGTATGGGTGAACATCCATCTTTCTTGATATATAGTAAAGGGTCAGACTTCGCTATCAGGTGAAGGGAAGTGGCTTCACTCAAGTTGCAGAGCCTTGGAGGGGAAGCTGGATTTTGACCAAATGCTCTAGTGGAGTTCTGCAGCAATGTCTGACATCCATAACTTCATTACGTTCCAAAGGGTACTAACCATAGTTAAAAAGAAGTCCAAGAATATTAAATGAGGAAGAGATGACAGCCAGCATCTTTGCAAGGTTACAAGCAGGCTAGTAACCTTCTTAAATATCCCTGTTTCCACCCACATGTCAAGGGAGCTAGTGGTCAAGAGGCTGCAGTATCTCTTTCTGGGTGGAAGAAGAGACTTTAGTTTCCCTTAACTGCAAAGAAGGTTCAGGAGACAACATGATCGGCTTCTTACGTTAACGCCTCTTTGCTCCCATCTAATCACATTGGAAGTGTGTTAGAGTGCACGTGAAGTTTTGTGGGGTTTTTTTCTGCTTGTATTGAGGCCCTTTTCTGTGGTCAGAGTGTTGTAAAGAGCTTGCAAAGAGAGTAGGAAAGAGGTCTTCTCCTGATCCCGGGGTGTAACCAGGACTGTGCATGTTGGGTCAGGGGTGAGGGGTGCACATGCCCTATGGGCAGGAGAACTTGCTGAAGTCCTTGAAGAGTAATAAGATTGTTAAAATAATAATAATAATCCATAGCCTAGTGAACCTCAGCTCTTAACCCATCCTCCTTTTGTATTCCTGCACATAAACATGGAGTGGCTGTGCCATGTACTAAGCAGTGTTTGCCAAGGAGGTTTTCAGGACAGGTACACATTATTGTAATACCACCGTGAGGTGATGCCTATGTGTTCAGCATAAGGGTAGATACTTAGTCATTTCCATTAATTTTTTTTGTTTCAGTTTGATAGTCATGTCTGTATTGGGCAGTAAATTCATCATATTTGGAGAATATGGAACACAGAGCTGAGGTGAAGAGACAGCTGTATGTTCAAACATACAGCAGAGTATCAGCAGTAATCTGACTAAAGTGATGGCAATGCAATTTTATTTGCTAGAGACAACAGAAGAGCTTCTCTCTCTACATGACCCCAGTGGTGTCTGTCTCTGTCTGTCTGCAAAGCACCAGTCCACCACCCTGTGCCAATGCATCACGGTCCAACTCTGTGAGCCCAGATCTGATGTTTGATTGCATTCCCCTGCTTAGCGTCACTTGATCACTGGTCCACCATCAATCTATCGTTCATTACAACATCTGGGACTTTCTTTGACAACTGCGAGTGACATGAGATGAATTATCTGTTGCTGCTTCCACTGTCGGTTGACTCCTCTCTGCTTAAACTTCCAGTCTTGCAGATACCAGAATAGTAGTGCTAAATTTTTTATTTCTGTCCTTTCTAACCCCCCCATAATTGGTGTACAGGAGCAGAAGAGGACTTGCAATTTTATTATTGCTGTATAAGCCTTCTGTAAACTCAGTTACAGCACTTCTGGTGTTGGTAATTTTTGTGACTAAAAAATATGCTGTCACTGTGTTTGTGCATAGGAAAACAGCAAATTTGAATGTATAATAATGTGGTGCATTTGGGAGATGTTTGATATATATCCCAGCCAAGCTAATCACTCATGGAATTAATTTTTTTTTTATTTTGCTCAGTTGACTCGGAGACATTAATCTCGTATCTGTGGAAAGGCATCTTTAATGCCAAAAAATTGATCAGAGATATCTGACATTTTTCTGGCATCAGAAAAGATTTTGAAGGAAAGCTATCAGTTCACAATAGACCGGCAGAAACAGAGACGTTGGTTACTTTATTTTTCTTACATAATGAAGAAATACCCAGATGATGATTTCCAATTCGTGAAGTATATTGAACCGTGTACTGTATTCATGAATATAAATTGAGCAGACGTGACACACATTTTTCATACAAAAATAACACAGCGTTGCTCCTTCTGATAATTCTTCTTTGCCTGAAATATGCTTATTCTGAGAACATCGCTACAGACTTAATAGTGCACCGCATAACTGCGTGTTAAAAAATGCGAGTGCTAAAGGACAGAGAATGTCTTAGGGAGAAATTATTCAGAGATTTATAATGATGGTGGCTGGCTGTGTTTTTCAAGGACAAAATCTTTCTGCATCTTCCTTTCAAGCTTTTTCTGCAAAATCCTTCATCTCTAAATAGCAGCATCACCCAGCCAGCCCACTTCCACCCAGGGAGACTCATTCCCAAGCTGGATTGTGTTGCTGCCAAGCGGCGCGCCGCTCGCACTTCACTTCCCATCCACGCTTCTGCCTCATGGGCAACTTTGCCCTCCAGATCATCCAGTCCTAGCAGAAAACCTGCAATGCTGTGGTGACTTTGAACACAGAGCCAGTCCCAGGTTAAAACAGAAGCATCAACTTCTCATCCCTGGGCAGTCGCTTGTGTGTCAGCAGTGTGTTCCCACCAAGCAACGGGGAGGACCAGACACTCCCTAATTTTTTATTTTCCTCTTTTGCCAAAAATGAAACTAGTAGGGTGGAATATGACCCTTAATATGCTCTAATCATATAAAAAGCCTTGCAAGGAGGAGCCAGTACGTTTACAGATGTTCTTCTTGATTAAATAAAGCCCTCTCTGTTTACATCATGCTAGGGAGCTGCACTACAAGAAAGGTAACAGGGTAAGATAAGAAACGTGACCTGAAAGAAAAATGCCAGATTAGACTGTGAAGGCCAAATACTGATGTCCTTGAAGCCAGTGGGAGTTTTGCCTCTGAGGAAATAGCCAGAAGCCAGTAGCACCCTGTGCCGGTTCAGGCCTTTACAATCCTGCGCCACAGTCCCTCAAGGTGATCTCTGCCGTGGGGTTGAAGAGCACGAAGAAAGCGTGCTGCCCGCTCGCGTTAGCCTGCCAGGGCGGTCAAGTCACAGCATTTGTTTATTCCCCTTCGATTTTCACTTCTAGTAATGCTTCTCTAGAAACAGAGCAACCTTGTGATGAATGCAGGGAGAAATGATGGGATTGTTTGCTGTTCCTCAGAACTGTTTTAATTTTGCCCCTACAAGCAACCAGGTATTTGAAGACGGCTTTCTTCTTCCAGGTTACCAGCCTGTCCTGCCGAACCAGCAGCAGGGGTTCCAGGGTCTCATGGGAATGCAGCAGCCGCCCCAAAGCCAGAACCTGATGAATAATCAACAGGGAAATCAGGTCCAAGGCATGATGGTGCAGTATCCAGCCATGTCGTCTTATCAGGTACTTGGAATCCGTAAAGAAAGACTGATTTTCTCGGCGAGTGCTTAACTGAACTAAGTTTTTTTATCACAGAATGGTCTTTATTACTTTATTGGGACAATGTGTGGCAAGAGGCCTCCTGATAAATACACTTCTAAGTCAAACTGGTTTCTTTGCTTCCTGTTTACGTGTTCTTGGTAATCCCAATTTTCATTCTGAATTGGGAGTACTTTAAATGAACTATTTATTACAGCCTGCAGCGGGGGTAAAATGTCACAAAAGATGAAGGAATTATACTTCTTCCTGTGAAGAAAGCAAATTAAAAAAAAAGACAGAACATTGTTTTTTTTGTTTTTGGTTTTTTTTTTTTGCCAGTGCAGTATTGTTTCCTGTCATGAAGTTGTGGAGACTCCTGCCAAGGATCTCACCATGTCTTCTGTAACAAACTGTAGCCAGATAGATTTTTGTTTTTTAGGTTTTGGGGAGAGGGAAGTGGCTTGAATTTTACAAAGTCCCTAAATTACCCAGACATATTTCTACAACTTTATACCCTCATTCTGTGAGATATGCCAAGAGCCTGTGAGAGCCTACAAGGTGGCCTGGGCTTATGCTTCCTAATGGTCCCTCTGGAAAGTTAAGAAACTAAATGACATCTAAGTCATTTTAATAGTTTGCACTAATTGAGCAGCCATTCATCTTTTCCCTCAGCTTATCTGAAAACACTACAGCAACCCAGATGGAAATGGGGGAATTGCTTGTGGGTAAAATTTTCTCCTTAGATCTTTAAAATTACTATACTGAAAATGTGTTTTAAAGGTTAATGATCAGGTTAAAGGTTTAGATCTTTTAGATGGCCTAGATATACCAGGGTTGAGTCTTCTGTTTGCACTGATCCCGGAAGTCCGCATTCAACTAGATCATGACAGAGCTCCTTGCAGGAGCAGAGAGCTTCCTCTTTAACCCTTCTCCAATAAAGGGGTAACCTCAGGGATGAGAACAGTTCTGAGCAGCAGAGTATGACACGTTTTGGCAGAGCACAGTATACTCAAATTCAGCTAGAAGAGAGTGCTTGGGACCTAACTTGAATGTGTTTACTAATTACTTTCTTTTTTTCTTACTTATTTCTGTTGCTCCCTAGGTGCCAATGACCCAGGGTTCTCAAGGATTGCCGCAACAATCATATCAACAACCAATCATGCTACCTAATCAATCAGGTCAAGGAACACTTACAGCCACTGGAATGCCTGTCTACTGTAATGTCATACCTCCTGCCCCACAGAACAACCTACGGTTGATTGCCCCACACTGCCCCTCCAATAACGTTCCAGTTATTTCTGCCAGCTGCAGGACAAACTGTGCGAGCATTAACAATGCAGGGTGGCAGGTCAAGTACTGACACTGTGGCTTAGTGCGGATATACGAGGATAGCGGTGCATTATTTGACAAATAACTCATGGCCTTCAAATGAAGAGGAACACAACAGGATAATCAGTTGAGGACATAAGAACTGACTATGCTCAAGTGATTTGCTGCTGGAGAAATCTGTAAAAAAAAAACAAAAATAAAAAAAATTTTGAAAAAAAAAAGTTTGCTGGTTAATGGTGCATATTTTTGTCATGTCTGCTAGGTATGCCTTTATAGCTTAGCTAGTGACATGAATTCATTGAGGTAAGATTTTTTCCTACCACTGAACACCACTGTGTAGATTGTAATATCCCTGATTCGGATTAGTTTTGTACTTTGTGTTGAGTTTGTGAAGCTAAAAGTATTTAAAAATATAATAAAATCACATTGTACCAAAGCTGTAATGGAAATGAAAAAAAAAAAAAAAAGAAAACAAAAAAGAATTACTGAATGGAAGGAATAATTTATATACACTATAGAGTTTTTTTATGGATATATACTGTATTGTAGTGCTTAATCACAATAAAGCTATTTGACCTCATGGAGAAAGGTCATGTTTCTACCACCTGCTTGGTCTCCCCTCTGTTTCTGAGTGAACTTCCCTTTGGTTCTGCATTGTCTTGTTTCAGATGAAGCTAAGGGGGGAATGATGCTTAATGGGCTTATGGGAGTTTGATGAGAAGGCAACGTACCTGTGTCTTAAAATGCAGTACTGTAACAGCTAAGACCACTTACAAATTGTAGCGCAGACACCCAGAAAGTGTTCAATGAATGATCATCTTAAAGTAAGTTTGTGCTTTTCCAATCCTTAGGACCAGTAATGTCACAAACACAATTCACCACTGCTGCAAGCCTCTACTAAGTCGTACCTCTTTGAGAGGCCATACAACAGTTGTATATAAGAAGACATAGATGTGCCATGATATCCCATCCAATGGCTGGAAGATGAGTTGCTACTGATGTAGCAACCAGAGTACCCAGTAATTCTTCTGCTACATAGAGATACTCGACCCAATTATTGGTACTCCAGCTATAAAGCCGTTTTGCAACAAAAAGATGACAACGCAAGAATCTGGTCCATCATGTTCAAGTAGTGGGGATGAACAATGTATTTGGGGGTTTGGCTCTTAAAATGTGCAGCACAGTAGTTTGCCAGAAATTTTTAGAAATTTTTTTTTTAATTCCTGTAGTGTTTCTCATGATTATGTCCATGTTCACTCAATTTCCAAGCTTGTTTTGATAAATTATTCTTCATTCATAAATGCTGCATTGGGTTCCTCATTCTACTTCAATGATGATAACATTTGAGTCACAAATTTGTTTACCAGACAAAAGTCTGTGTTATTTTTCACTTAAGCTGCATTTTTGATCAGTTTTGAACACCTTTAAAATAGGTAGGAGTGGAGCATTCAGAATTATGCATATGCATCATGGAAAAGCCTGAGATCCTTCTGTGTGTAAAATTTGTATGTGTCATAGTACGATTTTAGGTACACCCAAGATGACAGCAGCTTACAAGGCCCTGGACCATTGTTAATCTGAATGTGAAACAGCTTTTATTTTACCTTTAAGTTGGGTGGCCTTTCTTTTACACACTGCAGCTATGGAAGCAGGAACTGGAAGGGCTGCAACCCATATTTAAAACAATTATTTTTCTTTTCTATACAGCAAACAGATATCTTTTAGAGTTCGGTCTTTTTTTACATATGTGTCTTAAAAGTGTGGAATCCAGTCCTACAGGATCATCAGAAAGCCAAACGCTGAATTTTATGTAGTGTAATCACGATTCATTTGGTGAGAGACAATCAAGAACATGAGCAGGTAAGTAAACACAATTCACTCTTCAATTAGAGGTGAAATGCCTTGGGAGAGCCTACTGATTGATTTTTTTTTTTCCCCCTTTTTAAAATTGAGATACTGCATTTGAATTTTGCCTGCGACCCTGAGCTCTCATTTCAGATGCCCTGCATTGTATGGCTTATTTCCTTTTAATGCTTGCTATACTATGGAGGTTTCTCTCCTGGCATTACTATAATTACACATAATTGGGTTTACTGCTGCTGAATGGCTGGCGGTTGAATGAATGGCTGTTATTCTCTGTCAAGGCTCCAGAGTCCAGCAGCAAGGACCGGCAGGTGACCTTGTGCTGGACAGGTTGTATGTAGCCAGGCTGAATGAGCAGAGATGGGGGGTAAATCTCTGTGCATGTGGTATCTGGAGTGAAAAGACCCTTTGGTAATCACAATATTTAAGTCATGTTTCTTCTCTTTGAAGCACTTACTGTTACCTCACTGAGCTTTCTTCTTGTCAGAAAACTATGAATGAATTGCCTGGTAAAGAAAATCCGCCCTCGACATCATTGATTGATGGCAAACTGGGATGTAGATGTTCTCAGTAGCAATGAGGAAGGGACTCAAAAAGCAAAGCCTAGGAATCTTGCTTCTGTAAAGATACAATTTCCTCGTGTCCTTGTGCCGCTTTTTGTTATGGCCCCTTGGCAAACAGCATATCCCATGACTGACCGTGGCCATGAATTCCCATGATTTACCCATCTCTGCTCATTCAATGTCCAGCTCATGTAAAACATGCAAACAGCAGTGGGAGCAAAGATCCCGCTGACTGACTTCGCTCAGCCTTGTGGCAGCAGCACCTACCTGCTGAAATAAGACTTTTAACTTTTTATGTGCAATTGAGCAGTTTCAGGAGGAGGTCACAGCCACCCACACCAAACTGGCCTACATCCTCTGATTGTCTCACTCTCCAAAGAGTTTGAATCTCCTTAGGCGCAAGACGAAACAGAATTTGATCTCCCTCAGTTATGGAGAATGCCCTAATTATTAAAGTATCATATACATGGGGGAGACATCTCATGTGGTGGAGCACATACTTGCTTTACAGTGGAAGAATTTATATTTGAAGACAATTAAGTGATTCTGTTTCTCTATCAAGCGAAGCACAAAAATTATCCTCCAATTTTATTTTTTTAATAATACAATATTTCTAAGTCCTTCTCCTAAACTTTTTGCTAATTAATAAAAATATTCTGAGCTTGATTGTTTAGCAGCCTTGTAAAGGTTAATTATGCACAAGCAGTGCTTTTGTGCTAAGAGTTGTTTGCTTTAGTTGATAATAACTGTTTTGTTTTGTTTTTTCAGGTGGCTTTTGGTATATAAGCTGTTGTTTCATGTCAAAGTCCTGGCTTTTCTGAGCATCAGGTGTCGTTGCTACTAAGAGTGGGCTTTTTTTATAGTATTTTGTCTTTAATTTAAGAGAGGTTAATTGATGTAGGAATAAACTCCAAAAGAGCGTCTGAGATTAGCTTTCAAGCTGAAGAATAACAGATGTTTTGGGCAAATTTATGGATGGCCTGTTGAAAAGCAGTGTTGAATTCTTTCATTTGGAGAGATCAGCTGCAAACCTACACAGGCTTAATGAAGCACTGTGTCTCAGTTCATCCTTGTGTTTTTAAGGAATAATTTTGGAGGCTGCAGATTTAGTCAAAAAACCTTCGCCTTTTATGTTGTGGGTGCAGTTTTACAAAAGACAGTTGTAGAGAGGAAATGTAAGTAGAAGATAATGTTATAGCAAAGACATATGCTCCCCAGTACAGAAATTATCTCCATTGTATGCTACTAAATATATCCCTAGAGGAAGGCTTTAAAAAGGTACCATCAAAGTATGCTGTGTATCTTGCGCTAAAAAGCAGAATTCACAGTTCCCAAGGCTACATGGGGGTTTTTTAACCCCAAGGGTGAATCACGTGGGTGTGAATCAAGGCTCTTGCCATACCCAGGTTTTGCTTGCAAATCTATGCCAGATCTTCTTCACCATCATGAAAAACTGCTTTTATCTGCATGCAAAACAGATGTACATTAAATCCTTTGGGTTTGGGGTTTGGGTTTTTTTTTTTTTTTAAGGTAGTGGCTCCTGTGCTACTGAGTGTGATAGGAAGACCAAGTGAGTTGATAGTAGACAAGAAATTTTCTACTTGGCTCCCATTAACTTTGATCTCACCAGGATCAAATCTTATGCCAGGCGGAGCTTGTGCAGGGAAAAGGGCTTCTGTGTATGTGTATGTCAGTAAAAATTTTCATGATGGAAAAAACCAGAATTGTTTGGGTTTTTTCTAAAGCATTTCAATTAAAAGCGAAGGTTTTACAAAATTTCTTGTGAACGATGCTCCTGTTTTCCAAGCTAAATGTTGCTGATTCACTGAGGGCACGACTTAGTCATGGGACATGATGCCAGTAGGTGGGTGGTCATGGAACAATCCTTTGATGTGCAAAATTTCATGCACAACAAACGATCTTGTCTAAGAACCAAGGAGGGAAAAAATTGAGATCAAACCTTAAATGGTAAATTTGGACAAATTCTGCATTTGAGATAAAAACTTCTCAAATACTTTAGAGAATATGTCCACAAGGATAAAAAAGAGAAATTACTTCCAATGCTTCAGGCTGTGCCACCTGTTGTAAAGGCCAGGAGATCAGACTTTAAAGCAAAGTACTGGATATTTGTAAGCTTCCTATAAACAACAGCTTAGAGCAATTCACATGTACACTCTCAGTTAATCGCATTAACAGTAAGTAAAATGGAAGCCAGCCAGCATCCAGAATCTCCCTGACCAAAATTTTGAGTGAGGGTCAAGTCTTGACTACAGGTAAGCTTAGGTGAGGTTTCTCTCATTCTGTGTGTGCATTAGTGGCCACTCTTTCATTTTGTTTCATCTGTAGAGATGAAACACTGAGACATACAGCGCGCTGTAATGCAGGACTGCTTCAGGCATCCACAGTCCTGCTTCCTACTGGGTGCGTAAGCCTGTCGGGCAACGTATTCCCATGACTATGGGTATGCACAGCTTGATGCTTCTTTGGTTGGCATGGATATCAGAAAACCACATGTCATGGGGCTCATTGCCATCTTCCACTAGGCTGAAATTATCAGGGAGTGTTTCAGAAACTACAAAGTGGTCCAAATTATATGGAAGACACT